CTTAAGGTGGCGAAAGTTTCAGCCAGGTCCTTAACATAGTCCTCAGGTTTTTTTGCTTTTGACGATCGAATCGTCGACATAGACTTCCATGTTTCGACCCTTTTGATCGGCAAAAACTTGATCCACCAGCCTTTGATAGGTTGCCCCCGCATTTTTCAATCCGAAGGGCATCATTTTGTAATTGTACACCCCAGCGTTCGTGACGAATGCTGTCTTTGCCCGATCGTCGGGGTGCATGAAGATCTGATGATACCCCGAGAATGCGTCCATGAAACTAAGCAAGGCATGGCCACTTGTCGAATCGACTAGCTGATCGATCCTCGGCAAGGGATAGAAATCCTTCGGACAAGCCTTATTTAGGTCCGTGAAGTCAATGCACATCCTCCAGGTACCATTGGGCTTCTGAACCATCACCACATTTGCCAGCCATTCTGGATATTGGCAAGGTTCGATGAATCCTGCCTCCAGCAATTTTTTGACCTCGGCTGCGATGTCTCGGTTCTTATTAGCGGAGTAATTCCGCTTCTTTTGCTTAACTGGTCGACACGTTGGGTCAACATTAAGCTTATGGGAGATGAGGTCTGAACTTATCCCGGGCATATCAGCTGCCGAGAAAGCAACCACATCTCTGTTGTTCCGAAGGAGTTGAATAAGTTCACAACGGGTGTTCGGATCAAGGTCCATCCCGATTGTTACACATTTCTCAACATCTCCTTCGGCCAACTGAACTGTTTCAGTCTGTTGGTCCATATCCATTGCTGATGGACTGGACTCTTCAGAATCTGGCCTGCTGCCTATGTCAGCAGGTGTCCCAGTCTTTTTGTTCTTCGGCTGGCTCTCTGAATCTTTCGGTTCAGCTGAAGAGCTAGCCTTTTCCCTTTCGGGCCCTTTACCTCTGGATTCAGATCCTTGAGCCGAAGCACTTAGGCATTTCGGCTTTTTGGTGCTTGGCTCTCTTTCTTTTTCTTTCTCCCCCCCCATCCTTGTCGTCATCTGGGCGACTAGTGGATGGCTTGAGGTAGTTGCACCTTCGGGCGTCCTTTTGGTTGCCCTGTATCCTTTCGGGGAAGCCGGCGTCTGAGACGTAAATCATCAGCTGATGATAAGTTGAGACGACCCCTTGGATCTCATGAATTATGGGTCTCCCAAAAATCACGTTGTACACTGAAGGAGCGTCAATGACCAAAAATTCAATCATGACGTTCCTGGCTGCCTCATCGCAGCCGATGGTGACAGGAAGTGTCACCTTCCCATCTGGATAAGTTGAAGCCCCGTTGAACCTGGATACCGGGTAGGGTACCGGCGTATGGTGCTTGGGCTTCAGCTTGATTTGATTGTAGGCCTTTCAGAACAGAATGTTTGCTCCGCTGCCACCGTCAACAAGGACCTTACTGACGTCGTGGTTGGCCACCGTGGCGATGATCACCAACGGATCCTCGTGAGGGAACGTTATCCCCCGGCAGTCGGCGGCTGTGAACGTCATGTTCGGCACCGGCGACTGGGGAGATTGAATGTCAGCGTTGTTCACCTGGTGAGTCAAAGCTCTAAGGTGTCGCTTGTGCTCCCTCCGAGAGTATATTCCTCCCGAGATAACATTGATCGGAGGGAATTTCCCCTCCGGCTTTTTACTGTTTTTCCGGGGGAAGTCGAGGTCTTGCCGAGATTCCTTTGCTGACTTCTCGGATTCTTTTTTCTCGCGGTGATCCGCGATGTATTTTTTCAAGTATCCCTTCCGGACCATGTCCTCTATCTGGTCGTTCAATTGGATACACTCCTCAGTGTTGTGTCCCGAAGACTCGTGGAACTCGCACCACTGATTTTTATTTCTTCGCTGATACCACTCTGGGAGTGGTCTCGGCTTTTGGTAACTCTGCTCCTCCTTCGTCACGCCGTAAATTTTGGCGCGTGGAAGAGAGAGCGGGGTGTAGGATTCGTATCTGCCTGTGTATGAGGCAGATTTTTCCTTCTTTGGGTCGCTGGCCGAAGATTGCTCCGAGGCCTTTGACTTTCCCTTTGCCTTATGGCCTTGGCCTTCAGACAAGGGTATTTGTTTTTGTTTCCCTCCCCCAAATTGAGGTTGGGTTTTCGCTTTGTTCCATTCTTCGGCTCGGATGAACTTATCCGAGGCATTCAGAGCTTCCTCCAAGGTCTGCGGGGTATGCATGACCATGAAGTCTAGGAACTTTCCGGGCTGAAGGCCATTCTGCATCGCAAAAACGACTAGCCCCTGGTCTAGCTGAGAGACGCTGGATGACTCGTTACTGAAACGGGTCAGATAGTCTCGGAGGCTTTCGGTTTCCCCCTGTTGTAGACTCATGAGTTCTGCAGTAGTCTTCTCTCGGCGGTTTGCCGTGGAAAACTTGCTCCTAAATTTGGAGGACAGATCATCCCACCCTGTTATGGAGCCTTGCTTTACTCCCTTGGAGATCCACGCTTGCGCGACCCCCTTGAGAGTGGTTGGGAAATATTTGCACCAAGTCGCTTCGGATCTGGGGCAAAGATGCATATGAGTCTCATACGAGGCCACGTGATCCTTCTGATCCGAGGTCCCGTCATACGTGATGTGCGACGGTATTTTAACCGTGGGCACGCGCTCTTCCAGTATCCATTGCTCGAATGGTGAACTGGCGGGTAGCATAACGGCCTTGCCCTTGTTCCCGGCCGAAGGGACCGCGCTCCGCCCTCTTAGAGAGGTAGGAGTGGTTTTTGTCCCTGGCTGGGAAGTCTGGGCCTCGGCTGCAGGGAACGAGAGGCGACTGCGCACGCTCGGTTCCTTGCCGCCGAGTCGGTCGAGGACGCTTCGGCGAACAGTCTCAGGTTCTCGGTGAGTAGATTCTGGCCGAGAAACTGAGCTGCTGCTCTTATGCGTTTCTGGTCGGGAGGATGAGGATCCTCTTAAAAATTGAGGGTTCTTTTTCCTCTCTTTTTCATTTTTCCAGGTATCCTCTTCCCACTCTTCCAGTTCCCGGAAGGAAGGAAGCTTCCCACCATCATGGTCTAGCTTCCTCCGCTGATGCCGGGTATGCGGTGGAGTTCGATCACGAGGTGGAGGCATATTTTGTGCCCTCATCGCCTCCATGAGCACTGCCAGCGCTCTTGCCACCTCTTCCGAGCTGGGCCCCGTCAAAGGGGTCCTCGGCCGAGTTTGGGAATGAGGGCGCACAGTCGATGGTTGGCTTTGGGGCACTGAATGTGTCCTATGATCGGACTCACCCCTGCTAGACCGAGAGTGACTCGGCCTATAATGAGAGTCATGAATTACGGGAGAAAGGGAATCCTCCTTGTATGATCCTCCCCCCGAGCTGGCACCCTTGGGAGAGTTCCGGTCCGGCGAGGGTGACGGTGTAGGGGTTTTAGGCTTTTCGCCCGCTCCTTGACGGAGGCCTTTGCTCTTGCGGTTCTTAGCCATTGCTACTAAGATAATTGCAAGATAATCTTGGTTAGAAATTTGGCTTAAATTTTTTTTGAAAGTCTTCCCCACAGACGGCGCCAAATTGTTTCGGGTGAAAACAATGGGACCTTGCCGAAGGTCCGCTGAAACGGAGAAGACTAGATTCGGTCCAAGTTATGTTGGGCCGAAGGTTTCCTGCACAGTAAACACACGTAAACTAGCCTCGGAGGTGTTGCCGAGGAAGGCCCCTCCGATGCTAAAGTCAGTACAATGTGTAGAAAGAGAACACTATGCAAGAGAATTTGTTGCTTGAGGCTTTTCTTGAATATATCAGAATATATGAGAATATATGAGAATATATGAATGAATGTGTATGTGAATATTGATGGCTTTTATACCTCTTCATACATGGAGAAGTTGGGCCTTAGCCCAATTGGCTTGCTTTGAGGGCTGACCTTTGACTTTAGCACAATTGGAGAGTTGAACCTTGACCTTGGGCTTTTAATTGGATCATTTAATGCCTAGGCCCAATTGGACTAAATTGGACCCAAACAGTTGATAACTCCAAATTATGATGAAATTAAAATGTAATAGAATGCAAGTCCGTACGTAGTAGTATGTGATATAATTATGTTCAAATGTATGTCAATGGATTCTAGTTAGTTATTTTAATAAATTTATATATATATGTTTTTATTTTTATTTTTATTTATTTTTATTTTTTTGTGTTTAGAGAGCCACAAGAGCGAGTGATAAGAATCGATTCCAAGATCACCTAAAATCGAAAGGAGAGCTCTAACCGCTTGAGCTATCCCTCACACACACACACACACACACACACACACACACACACACACATATAGAGGAAGAGGCTCATGTGAGAATTACCTCCCCTATGTGAGAACAATTTATATGTGAGAATAGCTTACAACCATTGGATCAAATAAGATCCAACGCACCACATCTACCCTGGTCAAAGTAATAATACTATAGTAAATTTCAGATTGTATATCTTTACAACAATGTAAAAATTTAAAGTAAACTAACTGATTGTTTGTTGACCTAATACAACAATTTACAGCAGATACGACAAAATTTAATAAAAAATCATCAGAAACTTCAGCCTCTCTTGTTTGGTCTTGTATTCTTTTCACTAGACTGACATTTGAAGGACTTCCAGACCTTAATCCGAATTGGGCTCTACATTTCTGAATACACACAGTATAACACAGCACAAAACTTAAAGTGTATAACAACAAATTACAGTTTATAACAAATAAAATAAAAGTTTATAACAATAATACTGAAGTTTATAACATTAGTAGTACTCAGTCCTCAATACCTGAAAGAGAGCTTGATTTTCTGCATCTGCAGCTTTGGAGACATAAATCTTAGCTCCTCTGGCGGGAACTCCATAGACCAGATGTACATCCTTAGGCTTTATCTTTTTCCGCTCCTTGGAAGGAAATACTAATGATGATCTAGCAACGTCAAAGCTCTTTACCAAAAGTTTATAACAATCTATTATCTGTTTATAACAGTTTGTAACAATATATATATATATATATGTATATATATATATTTTTTATAACAATATGTATTTAGTTAATCACAACATGTTAATAGTTAATAAGAACTTTATTGAACTATAATACAAAGAGAATAAGTTTGGAACAATGTTTACCGAGGGAACTGTGCTGAAGAAAAATCTCTCTTTCTTTTCCTTTGAATGAGGGTTTTTTTTCCTGTTTACTTCATTGAGAATGTGTTCCCAAGTATCAATCATCTCGTTTACAATATGAGTGCCCTCCTTCAATGATGAAAATTCGTTTCTGGTGATATAGTTCAAGTCGTCATAAAATAACTCTTCCCTTCATATTCATCAACGTAAAGTAACATTAGTATGTTGTACACAAAAATAAGGCTAGAATTAAAGTTTAATTGTAAAGTTTGGAACACTTACGTTTTGTCTTCAAGCAACAAAGCATAATCAACAACTCTCCTTAATTCAACATCTGATAATGGTTTTTCATTCTGAACCATAAATGGAGATCTTTGGTTCAGTGGAAGGTTTTGGACTACTCTTCTCAGTCTCTTACGTTGAACTACTGTTCTCGGTCTCTTACGTTGAACTACTGTTCTCGGTCTCTTACGTTGAACTTTCTTTTGTTTCATACTGTAAAAAATCTTTAGAACATTAAAGTTTATAACATTATTGTAACAACAATATCAACGTTTGTAATAGTAATTTATAACAACAATTCACAAGTAAATAACAGCAATTCAAAAATTTATAACAGCAATTCACCAGTTTATAACAGCAATTCACAAGTTTATAACAACAATACAGTTTGTAACAACAATACAGTATATAACAACAATATTAAATTTGTAATAGTAATTTATAACAACAATTCACAAGTAAATAACAGGAATTTACCAGTTTATAATAACAATTCACAAGTTTATAACAACAATATTAAATTTGTAATAGTAATTTATAACAACAATTCACAAGTAAATAACAGCAATACAGAAATTTATAACAACAATTCACCAGTTTATAACAACAATTCACAAGTTTATAACAACAATACAATATATAACAACAATATTAAATTTGTAACAACAATTCAGAAGTTTATAACAACAATTCACAAGTTTATAACAACAATTCACATGTTTATAACAGCAATTCAAAAGTTTATGACAGCAATTCACAAGTTAGTAACAACAATATTAAAGTTTATAACAACAATTCACCAGTTTATAACAGCAATTCACCAGTTTATAACAACATTTCACAAGTTATTAAAGTTTGTAACAACAATACAGTATATAACAACAATATTAAATTTGTAACAACAATTTCAAAGTTTTTAACAGCAACTCAGAAATTTATAACAGCAATTCAGAAATTTATAACAGCAATTCACCAGTTTATAACAATAATTCACAAATTAAAAATTTTGGTTCCGCTTTTACTTTCTCTCTCCTCCTTCAATTTCATGCATTATTTTGGGTCTTCTGATTCCTCATTTCTTCTTCAAAATTTCGGCTACTTCTTCAAATCACAATGTAATTCCTTCCATTCTTCATCAAATTCGTTGTCATTGTTGTTTACAATCTATCAAGTGAGTAAATCGTTTTTAATTTCGCTTTATTAAATCATTTTTACCTCATTTGAGTTATTATTTTAGCTCTAAATCAGTGAATTTATATTTAAAATCAAGTTAATTTATTTGTTGTTTTTGAGCTATAATGTTATTTTTAGGTTCTAAATCGATGTTTAATTTTGTATTTTCGATGTTTTTGTAAATCAAATTGATTTTTCGATTTGAACTTTCTGAGTTTCGATTTAAATTTCAATTTGTGGCTTTGTTTGATTAAGTTTCACGATTTTTGTGTTTGTTTTCATTATTATTATGATCTTAAGAGGCAATGAGAAAATAAAGGTTTTGTGGAGGGGATATGAATTTCAATGTATTTTTTATAAGGTTTGTGTTCATGTTGAGCATAGAAAGAGAAGAGAAGATTAGCAGGCCTAGGTTTGGGTAATAATGTTCAAATTCAACTAAATTTCTTCATATAACATTCTTTGAGATTCATTTGTGTAATTTTAATAATTTGTGTAAATTAGGTTTTATGTGTGATTTTAACTTCATTTTATCATTTATTGTTGACAGTTGTTAGTGAGATTCCATGTGCAAGTAACTTTTAGATTACCATAGATATAAAAATAGCAACAATTCTTTGCTCATTTGTAAAATGAGAAAACACATTTCTGCTCATTTGTCAAATGAGCAAACATGAATCTGCTCATTTGTCAAATTAGCAAACACGAATATGCTCATTTGTCAAATGATCAAACACGTTTCTACTCATTTGTCAAATAATTTTTAGATGATCATAGTTTCAAAAAATAGCAACAATTCTTTGCACATCTACCAAGTGAGCAAAAATGAGCAAATAATTATTTACTCATTTGTCAAATGAGCAAATAATTTTTTTCTCATTTGTCAAATGAACAAATAATTTTTTGTTAATTTATCAAATGAGCAAATAATTTTTTTGCTCATTTATCAAATGAGCAAATAATTTTTTGCTTATTTCTCAAATGAGCAAACAATTATTTGTTCATTTGTCAAATGAGCAAACAATTATTTGTTCATTTGTCAAATGAGCAAACAATTATTTGTTCACTTGTCAAATGAGCAAATAATTTTTTGTCCATTTGACTATTTTCTGAGACTATTTTTTTTTGATGTCAAAGAGGAAGTTTCATGTAAAATTAAAGTTAATCTTTTTTTTTATTGATATTTACAACAAATCACAATTTATGGAAGCGCATAACAATTCTTATTCATTCTTTGCTTATTTGTCAAATGAACAAACAATACTTTAAGAAATATCAATTCAAAAATTTTAGATGAAATATGTCCCTGTGGGAAGGTTGGTATAAGAGGGATCATAAAAACAATTAGATTTTATTTCTTCTTCTTTGATGACTTCATCCCAAAGCTTATATACTAGCTAGGTATAGCTCTAATGGATGTTGCAGGGCCTTTTCTTGAGACTACCTTTGTTAGGGGTAAAATTACCCATGCCACGTGGCCCAATGGGGTGTTGACACGTGTCAGCCCCTAGAGAGGCCCAATGGGATCCACGCTACTGCTAACATGTGGCCCCGTAACCCTAATAGGGGAACTGATCTCCTTCCACTATAAATAGAGGAAAGTTCTCATTTATTGCGCATTCATGTACAATCATAAATACAAATACAACTACCGAGCAATATTAATTGCAGAATCTCCCGGAATTCGAGAGACAATTTACTTTCCGCATTCTTACTCACTCAGACGTATTCTAACTTGATCGTCGGAGCCGGAACTCCAACCAACCGGAGTCTCCGTGCTTTTGCGGGTACAGGTGGTCGGCTACTAGTTCTGGTGTTGTAACTCTCCCGCAGGACACATAAAAAAATACCGAAACATTTGGCGTCGTCTGTGGGGAGAGTACTTCCAGAATGGCATCCCATGAGTCTGTACTTCCTAACAACGAGAAACGTCCTTGGCCGAACTTGAGGTCAAGACGGACCAAGATAGTGGCGACGACCAAGAGGTCGAAGCCTATATGGCCCCAGACGGGTCATTCAGATCCAGACGTCCCCGTCCCAGGGAAATAAGGGAACGGGACCACGACAAAGCAGGCCCCAACCACCCAACCGGCCAGCCGGCTGGGCAACCCTAGACGGCTGAGGGTGCTGCCCCTGTAACCAGAGACGAACTCATGAAATTCATGAGTAGCTTCAAAGGGGAAATCAGGGACCTGATAAGCAAAAAGGCAGGCTCCCACAAGGGTCAGTCGACCAAAAAACCATCTCCTTCTGGGAAGAAACCTACTCCGTTAAGGAGGAATCCTTCTTCCTCTGGGAAGAAGCCGGTGAAAGACTGAGTTCCAATTCCGAATCCAAAACCACATGGACCGGATTGGCCCATGGTGGATCTCTCAAAATTTCGCATCCCCGAAGCAGGCTAGAGGAAGGCCATCCGGCAAGTACAGCCGGATGGGTAAAAAAAGACGTTCTCCGATGCCCGGATGTTCCTCCAGCAAAAGAGAAGTCAACAAATGTCTGAGTTGGCTTCAACGTCGACATTATCAGACAGTCTCCCTAATACCTCAATGAGGTGTTCGGAGACAAACCGAGAGAGTCAGTCGGGCGGCATGTCCGCACAAACTGGCCCTCAGATTATCCATCCGGCTCCGTATGTGCCCCAACAACCATACATGTCGTATGGATCTCCTTACATGCAGCCGACCCTCTTCGGAGGACCGATGGCACAAAATGTCCAGCCTATGGACTGGCAACTTCGATTGTTGAACCTTGGAGAACAGCCTTCGGCTTTCTCTAGGGAGATAACCGAAGCGGCTTACCCGGCCAAGGTTAAGAACGTGTTGGTTGGTGCCTACGACGGTACCGCCAACCCGGAAGACCACCTTATGGCATACACCAACCTCATGTATTTGCAGGGGTTGGATGACGCCGTTTGGTGTAGATGCTTTTCGGAAACGTTGAAGGGCATAGCCTAACGATGGTTTGGCAACCTGGCAGCTGGTTGCATCAACATCTTCAAGACACTGACATACTTGTTCATGTCTAACTTCTCTATGAACATCCCGGCTAAGAGGACTAGTCTCGATTTGGGGGCTATACAGCAAGGAGATAGAGAAGGATTGAGATCCTATATCAGGTGGTTTAATCTAATGAGAATTCAGATCGAGTGACTGTCTGACGAGGTTGCCTACACAGACTTCTTCAAGGGTCAGAAAGACGGGTCGACTTTCAAATTCGACCTAGTCAGAAAGAGGGTGGCAACCCTCCAAGAAGCTCTGATGGAAGCCGAAGCCTACATACAGGCAACGGAGCTATGTGCCATCAAGCAGCCGTCAGATCCTAAAAAATCTGAGAAAAAGGATAACCGGCCCGCTCAATCGGCTAAAAAAGAAGAGGGCAAGAAAAGAAAAGAAGTCTGGTTGGCTGACCGCCCTGTCTAGTCATCCCAGAAGAAGTACGAGTTCAACAAGGATTGCTCCTCCATCCTCATGGAGGTCAAAGACCGGTTGTCTATAGAGAAACCGGCTGCAATGAAAAGTCCTATTAAAAGCTGGGACAAGTCCAAGTTCTGCCATTTTCACAAGGACATAGGCCATGACACCAATGGTTTCTATAGCCTTAGGCAGCTGCTAGACAGCCAGGTTGATGAGGGGGCTTTGAAGACCTACCTTGTGAAGTCCAAGGGCAACCCCCGGGAAAATAATGGACAACCGTCCAAGAAGCCAGATAATCTTTCTATAAGCTCTGACACTGATGAGGAGCAAATCATGACTATAGCAGGCGGCTTCGCCGGAGGTGGTCCAACCATCCGGGGCACAAAAGACAACCTCTGGAAGTTGGAGGTCAACTTAGTGGATGAGGGCTGGACGTCAAAAGACACCTTCCCTGAGGTTATCATCTCTGAGAAAGACTAGGGCAAGGTCAGGCGGCCTCATGATGATCCCATAGTCATCGAGTGCAAAGTCACCAATCAGCGAGTAGGCCGGATCCTCATTAATACCGGGAGCTCGTATGACCTTATCAGCTGTAGGTGCTTGGTAAAGCTCAAATACAAACCTAGCAGCATGCACAA